ATTGTATTGTTAAGTTTGTTTGACTGCCTTTCCCTTTATTTGCTAATTACACACATGATTGGCAATCAGTGTATGAGATATGCCTTAAATATGTGAACCGTTTGCTGAGTAATTCATTAAACAAACCGAAAAAATCACTAAACATTTCAACACAACTAATACATTATAGTCATTTAATTTCAGTGCCTATTATGGGAAGCAATTTACACTGAATTCTTGTGTCAAATATGTTCACCACTTGAACGGAATATATCAATACTAGACATCTAAGACATACGATACACACGACTGCATACCTGACCTTTGATAGCATTGTACCCAAAGAGTCACTCATTTAGTATACACCATGTTATGGGCCTTAGAGCACATCCACACCTGTCCCGCACACACATAACGAAAAAATAAATAAAACTAAAAATAGTGATTAAAATACATTTAATAATAATTCATAGATAGAAAGGAGGGGTCATTACAGACACTATAAACCGTACAATAAATCGGTGCATAAAAGAGAAATTAATTCAAATGATAATACAAATACAAAATCAAATCAATGGTTAAAATGACTGAAAAAACAATAGTAATACTAAAGACTAAATGAGTGGACAAATCGTATCAATAATAATACAGTAATAGTAAAGTAGTTATAAATGTGAGCAAAACGTGTGACAAATAGCACCAAACGGGTGGTCATCAGCACCAGCGCCTACACCTCCTGACTGGACTTGGACTTGCCGGCGCCGCCACTCTCAGACTTCTTGGGCAACAGCACGGAGTGAATGTTGGGAAGTACGCCGCCCTGACTGATGGTCACCCCTGACAACAGTTTGTTGAGCTCCTCGTCATTCCTGACGGCGAGCTGCAGATGTCGGGGAACTATACGCGACTTCTTGTTGTCTCGCGCGGCATTGCCCGCCAACTCCAGCACCTCAGCCGCCAAGTACTCCAACACCGCCGCCAAATACACGGGTGCGCCGCCGCCCACGCGCTCCGCAAAGTTGCCTACAATTCAGAGCACGTGTTGAGTGTGACGGAGAAAAGCACGTGTTTTTGGTGTCGGTTGTGGTCACAGCATAGCATACATGCGTTCACAACACCACCACTACTACCGGTGCGGCGACCAGTAGTCTAACAGTAATGATAGGCGCGAAGACACATACCTTTCCTCAGCAGTCGGTGTATACGTCCGACGGGGAACTGGAGGCCGGCTCTGGACGAGCGCGACTTGGACTTGGCCTTCACTTTACCGCCCTTTCCTCTGCCGGACATCTCTTTTGCTTCAAATGAGTCTTAAATAGCGATTAAAATGTGTGGAAACGAGTGATGAGTTTTGTCGGACGACTGACTCGATTGCAGACAACTTCTAGCAGTGAATAGTGTTTTGCGCCAAAAGTGTCGCTCCTTTTATACCCTCACAACAGCTCACACTCGCAGCCAATCAGCGGGCAGTCACTGTCAGCGCCACTGCGATCCACGTCATAGACAACGTGTCGCGACGAACGCTATTCACTGCCCCTTATAGTCGGCGTAATTAGTAATTGTTGTATACAATGAGAGCACACACTCCGCCACCGAGTGAACGGTATTTGTGAATCGATGTCTAATGTGTTCACTCGTGTGCACAATGAGCTCGAGTTGTAATGAGTCAGTCACAGGACACCACTATTGAGTATTACGCGTGTAATTGACGTACAGTACGACTGCATGGACTCGAGTCGTGTGTCGCCCATAATCCGAGTCAGCGCTCGAGTCAGTGGCACCACTCGTATGGCGCGCGTGCGCTCTGACTCTCATTCAAGTGATGACTTGTTTTACGACAAAAATATTGTGTTTTTTGTTGACATTTGAAAACAAGACGTATGTCTCGACACCGGATGTCCTCCGCGTGAACTGATCCGCCGCACAGACAATGGATATACTGTTGCAGATGGTGGTGAACGCCATGATGTCTTGGGCCGCCTTTTACGCCACGCTGAAGGCCATACCGCAGGCCCGGCCGGTGTTCATCAGAGCCAACCTCTTCGGCATCGATCTCTGCAAACCAGACAAAGAGAAAA